AAGACATTTTATTTTTAATCTTCATTTATGTATGTATATGACACGAATATTTATAAAGTATATGCATTCGAAAATATTATTTTCCCGATGAATGGAAGAGAGCGCATAGCGTTCTAGACGGGTCTTTGCAATGGTGAAATGCATGTAAAGAAATAAATAAAATTCATCGCTTTATTTATTCAAATAATATACATATGTATGTATCTATATTTTTTACATCACACACTGTATACGAGTATGTGCACTCAAAAAACATGTATTTAATAAAATAAACATGTACGAATTATAAAAAAAGAAGTATGCTGTTGTTTGCGCCTAAAATTATTACATTCGTTATAAAAATTTAATCAAAAGCAAATAGCATAAAATGTATTCATAAATATAAAAATATATGCTAAATAATATATGTATGTATATATAAAAGACAATAATAAGTTATCTATTTTTTAATGCCGATATAAATGACATCGCCTCGCTTGACTTTCCCCGGCTCACGCAAACCCAAATGAATTCCAAGAACAGGGCTTGGGTTCTTTTCAAAGCAACGATACCTACATATAAACGGAAGAATAAGTGGGTTCAATGAATATCAATTAATTGAATACAGCATATAAAATTACGTTTTTAGAGTTTTCAATGGATTATTATCAGGATCGCGCTCTCCGGTTTCTGGGTTGATGTTGGGTAAAATACATCGTCGGCATGGCGCTACTTTACGGAAGACTGCCTGCTGGCCAATTTTTATCCAATCATATGAATCCTCAGCATAGGGTTCGTTCTTATCCATTTTTAAATAGAAACCGCCTCGAAACTGAATTGGCTGTACTGGACGCGGGAGTCGTTTATTGAGATCTTCAATTGATGATAAATTCATCAGCATATAGCTAGTAGCATCAGCGAAGGCACCCTGAAATTGATATTTAACTTATATGTACATATTTGTGTATGCTTTCACACATTTTTAATATACATACATACATACAATATGTATTATGTATATTTGAGTGGTTCAAATTTTGCATGGGGAAAAAATGTCATCGTAGAAATCGGGGCACCCCCTTAGTTTCTTCCTTTTGGTATTTGTAATATCTATACCGAATTTCAATTTTCTACTGTGGCCAATACATGGTGCTCAGTGCCCTTGAAATGCGCTACTGAATCCCTTTGAGACTGACCAAAATATTGTATCTTCATAGAATGGGCAGGGTATACTCATCGTTCTGTCACTACTGTGGAAAAGTCAAATATAACGTACATCACACATTCTTAACTTGCCAGCACTTCTTGACTTCGCGCAGGATGTTGGAAGAAAGACACGGAGACAAACCCCGAACAACGCAATTGGGGTAATGACCTCCAGTGCAGACAAGTGGGAAGCAGTTACGAGATACGTGAAATTCTTACTCCGCTGCAAATGAGAAGACGGATGTCTACTGAGGACACCCGAATGAAACGCTCCTACAATGGAGCAGCCTTGAGGCTCTAGTAGCGCACATCTGAAGACTTGCATAATAGCGGTGCCAGATGCGGGATTCTTGCGCGGGCGGTGGGTGTTTGGGTTTTAGTGGGTAGCCCAACATGCTTCGGTGGAAGTCCCACACTCGCGGAAGGTAGAGATTAGCGACCCCGGCCAGTGCATAAAGCATTTCCCCCCCCTACGAAAAAAAAAAAAAATAGATTGGCGCTTACACATATGAGTAGTCCACTTGCAAAGTGCTCTATGTAAAATTTTTTCGATTTTTAGTAGTTGCGGTGCCTAGTAGAAGAAGTCGTAAAAAAGAAGTAGACCAATCGTCATGGAAGAGAGAATGCGAAAAGCTAAAAAAGCTAGCTATGTAAAACTTACGAACGAAGGGACTTTTGGCGCCTCTGTCGGAAAATTCAGCTTCCATGAGGAATCGTCCGATAAAGGGCTGAGGCTGATCCGACTTCGAAGTGGCCCGAAGCCTGGCGGTATGTAGTACTGGGTTCTAGTATAAAAATATTCATTAAGCTACATGGGTGTCTCCAGATCGAAAAACTGCAAACCAAATCGAGTATGTTGTTATAGACGGAAGGCACACTTCCAGTATTTTAGATGTACATACGTACACTCCGAGGGCCAAACATCGGTTCGTACCACTATATGGATTCAGCCAATATACGCACCCGCCTCGGTGCAGCAAAAAATGTGCGCCCGACAATGCAAGGAAAGTTCATCGTCGAAAAGCTGCAATCAAAACAGACGGCCAATTGATTCGCCACTCGACTCTCACACCTGCTGTGAGAGAGCACTTTTCAACAAAGCGACATACGCGGGCTGTGGAACCACATTTTCCGCTCATTACTGGTACGATAAGGAGTGTCAAGAAGCTGCAGCTGCCTACAGGACCCCGCTGCGATGGGGCGCAACGCGAGCCATGTTATAGGGAAATGAAGAGGGAACCTAGACGTATTTGCCGCAATAAGAAGGGGGGGGAGGGTCTAATACGTGATTGCGAAGAGCTTGAAATGCTGGCCGACAAAAAAAAACACCCGAAATTATTAGCAGAGAGTTGAACGACTTACGGAAGGTTTCAAGACTCGTGTAGGAACGACCATGGCGACCTAGTGACCGACGTCCAGAACGTACTCAAATTATGGAGGGAACACTTTTTGACCCTTTTGAATGGCAGCAGCACTAAAAGAAGTGGAGAAGACGAACCCGAGCCCCCAGTCGATAACGTTGGAATCGATATCCCAGCGCGATTATGCTGATGAAAAGTAACAAAGCTGCTGGAGCTGATGGCCTGTCAGCAGAGCTATTCTATTACGATGGCAAGGAGCTAATAAGGTGCATGCCCGACAACTGGATCTCAAGTGCGCTCTGCCCAATCCACAAGAAAGGCGACCCCGCCATGCGTGTTGTGTAAAATACTGAAGCCCACCGTCAACGAACTGATTGAGCCTTACCAGTGTGGCTTTAGGCCTGGCAAATCCACCGACGACATCGATATTATTGTTTCAAATAAGGGTTACATCTGTTCTGTCTTAGATGGAGAAACAAAGCATGTGGGTCTGGTGGTGAACGAGGACAAAACGAAGTATCTCCTAACATCACACAAACAGTCAGCGCATTTGCGCCTTGGCACCCACGTCCTTGTTGACAGTTATAATTTCGAGAAAGTGGAGAATATCCTTTACTTGGGAGCCAGCATTAACACCGATTATAATGTCAGCAGCGAAATTCAATGCAGAATCACTCTTGCCAACAAGTGCTACTTCGGACTGAGTAGACAATTGAGAAGTAAAGTCCTCTAGCCTTACAAAAATCGTATTCTATAATTCACTGATAATGCCTGTGCTGGTTTATGGCGCGGACGTAAGGACAATGAAAATATCTGATGAGGCGGCTCTTGGAAAGAAAATATATGCGAAAGATTTATGGGCCTCTACGCATTGGCGATAGAAAGTACCGCAGACAATGGAACGTGAGCTGTATGAGTTTTACAATGACATGGACATAATAATAATAATCCTAACGGGTTTTACAATTTACCGACCAAATTTTTCATCCGGTTCACGTCCCTGGTAAGAAGTGCGCGCTACCACTCCGCTGCGCCAGGGTTCAAGCCCTGGTCAAAGCAACATCGCAAAATAAAATTTAGAAAAAAAAAGGTTTTTTCTTAACAGCGGTCGCCCCTCGACAGTCAATGGCAAACTTCCGAGCGTATTTCTGCCATGCAAAACAGCTTCTCATAAAAATACAATCACCGTTCGGAGTCAGCGTAAAGCTGTAGGTCCCTCCCATTTGTAAGACAACATCAAGGCGCACACCACAAATCGGAGGAGAAGCTCTGCCAAAACACTAATATATCGGCGTTTAAAGTACAAAACCACGTATCAACAAATGGCAAAACCGCGTATGTACTTTTGCATAAATTATTTTTTAGGTTGCAACCTGGCACATACATACATATTAGGGATGTTGCGAATGTGGAATTTTAGACACCCGCGGATCGAATGCGGACGCGGATGTTTAAAAGCTTGCGGATGTCATGTATTTTTAAGAAATAATTTAAGTGGGTAAATTAGGTGATTTAGGTAAATAAAAAATGGAAAGGTTAATAATTTTTAATAATCTGGTATATCCTGAGTTTTTCCCGAAAAAAATCACCCGTAAATTTGTATTCCGCCCATAGTAAATATGTACATGAAAACCAAAAGTGAAAAGTGAACCGGTTCGGGGAAAATTAAACTCATGATAAGACTGAATGTTTTTTAGTACTTGAATTTAAAAATTGGAACATTGTACTTAATAAAAAATTTGCATAATATTCTAGGGACCGAAAATAACAGTTAGTTTTTACGAGTTAAATTTGGCCTAATATTTTTTTTATTCCGAAATAAACGTCTTTTCCGGATAATAAACAAACCGCTTATCCAAATATAAACAAATTTGGTATCATATGAAAGAGGACTGAAATAGATTTTAAACAGAAAAAACGAACGGAGATTACCACCTCGACTTATAATTTTTTTCGTTCCATTTCAATATTCGGATTCGCAAATGAACCGCATTGATTTTTGCGAATGCGAATGTTAAAATACGCGGTTTTGCAGAATAATGACGATACGCGGTTTTGTATTTTAAAAGACGATATATATGTGTATATGCATATCGATGGTCCTCTCTAATAAAGACACAATTCAAAATTCAAAAAATAAAAACCGTTACTACTTTTAAGTGACTCATGCTTTTAACCCTTGTCTAATCCATGTCCAATGCTTGCCAAAGTAAGTAGTAAGGATTAGATATGAATTAGAAAAGGATTTGAGACATGAGCCACTTAACAACAGTAAGGTGTTTGTTTTTTTTAATTTTGAATTGCGTCGTTATTGCAGAGGACCATCGATATATGCAAGTTTGTTTGTACAAACGTTTAATAGCAGTGCGCTCATACTATAATAATTGTCACATACCGTATCATATTTTTTTATATGTGGTTCCTTGGCTAAATCTTTGTCAATTGGCTTCGTTGGTTTCGGATAGGGATAGTACACCAGCTTCACTCCGTTTTCCTGACTCAAAATGTATTGCGAGAACCATCTGTCGTATTTTTCACCGCACAACATCGCATCCAATGGAGCACCAAATACCGATGTGTGTATATCGATGCCCGGCGCTTCATTAATTAGCTTACTAAAATCTAATTCCAGTG